CGAAGTGGAAAACCGTGAACACTTGATAGATCAAGACACGCGAACTGGCCACAAATTTTCAAACTAATTAACATTCTTGCTTGGGGGTTAGGTTTCTTATGCCTGATTGGCTTTTTTCTTGCAACACAATAACATTCCAGAAATATTTCTGGCGTTCCTGGTTGCTATTATCTTATCTATTATTAATATTAAATTATCATCTTATTTTAAAAGAACACACCCACTCGCCCCCTCCCATATTCACAATCATTTTGCTCCCCCCTTTTCCCCTCCCTCCCCTCTGGTTTTCCCCCCTCCTTCCCTCGCAATCACACTTCCTGTGGCCCCTCTGGTCACAAGCCCAACATCTCACTGAAAGAAAACAAAGAAAAAGAATAAATTAACATTTGGTGAGAGAAATTGACATAAACATAAAGGGGGCTTAGGTAGCAATGACGTCATGGCACGTATAAATTCAGCCGTTTCAGAGGGCTGTTAATTAACTCGGGCTTTTTAAGCGAATCCTCATGAATTGACTGTAACCAGAGTTGTTTACTGTTGCTTTTCAAAGTCATTTTTTATTTATGCTATGTTGAAATGAATGCTAGTTTAGCTCACCATTGGTCTGTAATTTTGTTTCCAGTTCTGAAAGAGAATGAAATAGAATGTTATTGACCATAAGAATTAATGTTAGCTAATTGATTTGGCTACTGTATCACCGTTAATTATCTTAGCTATTGTGATTAAAGTTATTGTTTACTGCACGTGGTACAAAGACCCCTAAATCTTACCTTGATTTTTATTTAATAAGAGCTTGGATTTCTGCCGAAAAGAAATTAGTTGTGAAACATAAACAAGACTGCTGGATGAGGATTCATCTATGTCAGGGTGAAAAAGAGTGACTCTAAATTGACCTAAGTTGTCTGACATGTTTTATTTTTGTACAGCTAAATCAAAAAAAGGTTGCATTGGTTGCAGGAGGCTTCAAATGATTCCAACACATGACTACCTCAGGTTTAGGGGTCTGAACTCTTGAATGGGATTGTCTCTTGTGAACGTCTGCGGAAGAGTAATACTGAGTTCACGTTTCACCTCCATCACGTTTAGGCCCATTATTTTGCAACAGTCAACTACTTCACCTCCTTCGTACATGGTGGATAACAGAAGCTGACTCTTAACACCTTGAACTCCTAAAGCTCGACTCATCCTCTCTGTAATGAATGTTGCATTAGATTGACAGTCATTAAGAGCGTATCACAGTTCTTCCTTTTCAGCGTTCTCATAGCTCGATACCAAGACTGGAACAATCAGACTTTGATCTTGACTAAATGCTTGACCTCTAACTCCACAGACTATTGTGCACTTGGTGGATGCTGGATGTTTGCTTACACGAGGCACACACAATCTTTGTCTTGCATTTATTTTCCTTTGCCATATGGGCATTTTCTAGGCATCTCAAACACAGACACCTCTTTGTCAAGAACAAGATTCTTTCTTTGAGCGGGGTTTTCAAAAATTCTCGACAGGTATCGAGGCTATGCCGCCCTTTACATATCTGCACGGATCAGTGTCTTGACTGTTCTCCAACGCCAGTGGCTAATGCATTTCTTCTCTTTTTTCACGATAATTATGGCTTCCTTTTTGGTGTCTGATATCTTGAACCAAGGCTTCAACACCAATGAGAACAGGTTGACACTGTAGTTCGACTATTTCAATGACAAACGCAGAGAGGGTAGGAGATTTATTGTCTCCATGCTTAGCTTGATTCTCAAGGACTTTAGTACCCTACTTGAAATGAGCCCAGCTCGGACGAATTCTCACTAGTTTCTTGTTGTCGTTTTCCTTGTTTAATGGTCCATATCCTCAACTGACTGCTTTCCTAATTTGCAAGTTCTTATTTAGTCAGCAAACTCCCTTAAAGCATTTCCATCCTTCAATGAAATCCTCGATCATTGTTTTAACTTGTCTCGAAAGGCCTGAGCAAAAACAGAAGGGTGTCCAAATCGTTTCTCTAAAAATTTGTGCTTCAGGCGCAGACACAAACTGATATCCTTCGACAACCTTTCTCGAAGCCCCAGACAAATAATCAAAATCAAACTTTGTTCACGGTGTCACTTCATCAAAAATTCTCTTCCAGTGTACTGTTTGCATAACAAATTTTAAGACAAACTACACTAATGCTAAAAATATATGTATGCTAAAAGAAACTGTCCTAGAATTAATTGCGCAAAAATTATCCTACAGTACACATTATAATATATAACTAATATCACGACTACCTCAAGAAGTCAGGGCAGACTTAAGAGTTGCACTCTAAAATTAGGTGTGTTTCCCTAGCACACCTTGTGTGTTCTCCAGCACATAAAGGTGTGTGGTGGTGACACACCTTTACGCTGTTTCATTTTAAAGTTCAGACTAACACACAAGAGTGTGTAAATAAACACAGGTGTGTAATTACAACACACCCTGTGATCATTCTACAACTCACCCTAAATTGATGAGATGCAAATGTTCTCAAAATAGAGAAATCTAGCAGATCCACACAACACACCTTGAATGGCAACACATCTTCCCTATTTCAGGGCATCTTTGTTACCAGACAAAGCTAATCGATGACATCAATGAAATCAATGAGTAATTAATGAATAATCAGTTGATTGGTCATTGATTATTGCCTATGTTCAATGAATAATCAACAGGCCACAAAATTTTCAGTCATTGATGGCACTGTTTAGTCATGGTCGATATAATCTTGTAGGTACACAAACCATTCCAAATCGTGGAAAAAAAAAACAAATTAAAACAACTTCTTCAAGGTATCTGTCACAGAGCAAACTTTACTTAGTCTATAACAATGGAATCTAAAAACATCAACCTCGTCACTTCAGTAGTGTGCTGGTGCTTGTTGTTGAACCAGAACCCATCAGTTCTTTCATCTTGAAAATTGTTTAAGTACTCTTTGCATAATAAATATGCAGCATAATATATATTAATAGCGACAAATATCAATTATCAATTGTCATCAATTGAGCACACCAGGTATATGTGTAATCAGTGAATAATTGATGGGTAATCCTGCTTGGTAGGTAATCGATGTGTAATCAATAGCATCAATATCAATGACATTTATGAGTAATCAATTGGCCTCAAAATTTTGGGTCATCGATTACCCATTGATAACCGCCACTAATGATTAATCAGTTGATTATCATTTATTTCCACATATATTTACATAGTTTTACATTAATTTGTACTTTTGAAGTTATAAAATCATTTGTAAAGTTATCAACCCATTTACTTATATTTACAGAAGTCGCTTGGTTTCGCATTTACCATATGTAATTTTCATATGAGAAAGCCTAGAAATAAATAAACTTTTTGATCTCAAAAGAATATGTTTACTTTTCGATGATTTTCCGTTTCTTAAAGAGACAGCTTCTTTCTACGTACTACGCTTGAATAACACAGTTGCAGTGTCCTGCATGGTTCATCCATAGAATCCCTGTTTGTGAGAGCCCTCAAGTACCAAAGCTTTGAGTTTGTAACTTCGTAACTTTATTTGATTTACCACAAAATACAAATAACGATAAAACAAGACAGTTACACAAAAGCAAATGAAAGTGGCGAGGAAGCCCAAAAAAAGAAACCATGAGGCTTATAGACATTGGGCTCCCTCAGAGTAAAAATAAAGTTAACAGTAACAGTAAGGCCAGGATCGAAAGTAAAATACAATGAAGGTAAGTATAAATTAACTAATTACATAGACTGAGTTAAGTTGACAAAATACAAGGTATGGTACATGTATCAATAAGTATAAAAATAATATCAGACATGTGAAGAAATATAACTATTTACTACAAGATTTATAACTAATAAATCATATATATTTTTTTTCAATTTCGTTTTGAATAAGTGGAGAGAATTAGATTCTTTCATATCATTTTCTATAGAGTTATAATAAGTAGGTCCTTGGAAACTGACAGAAAATTTACGAAGGTTTGTTCTACAAAAGGGAAGGTGAAAATCGTTCGCGTGTCTAGTGGCATAGCTATGGACTTGTTTGTTTAAAGAAAAATAATTGTTGAACTTTGAAGGCAAAAGAGAATGGTTAAGAGAAAACATAAGTTTACCCAATTCTAGTTGTCTAATATCGGAAAGTTTTAGTAGCTCTAATTCTTTGAAAATAGGGTCTCAATGAGAATCGAAAGTTGATTTAGAAATAATTCTGATAACTCGCTTTGCAAAGAGACAAGACGGCGAAGATTGGTCTTGTACGTAGATCCTCAGACAATAATACAATGATGATAAGGATAAACTAAACAATAATGAGTTTTTAGACAGGGTTTAGGTAGGAAAAATCTTGCTCTATTAATGACACCTATTGATTTCGAGATTTTACGAGCTACTTGAGAAATGTGTGGTTTCCAAGACAGATGTTCATCAAGGACTACACCGAGGAAGACCGTTTCCTTAACCTGTTCGATTCTCTGTTCATTTATGCATATTTGCATTGGAAAATGATAGCTTTTCTGTCTAGGCTTAAATAACATAAAGTTTGTTTTCCTCAGGTTTAAGGAGAGTTTGTTTGCCTTAAACCAAGTAGATAATTTATTAAGTTCGGAATTGGATGAGGCTGTCAGGTAGACAGGATCTTTATGGGACATAAATAAATTAGTATCATCAGCGAATAAAATCAGCTCGACGAGCGTCGATACGTTATTTAAATCATTAATATAGAGCAAGAAAAACAAGGGACCCAAATTGGATCCCTGGGGGACACCACAGCAGATAGTTTTTTGGAGAGGAGCATTGACCGTTAAATTGAATGAATTGCAACCTGTTGGAGAGGTAGCTTCTAACCCAGTCCAGAACCACGCCACGTATACCATAGTGTTCGAGTTTGTCAAGCAGAATATTATGATCGACGGTATCAAAGGCCTTAGAAAGATCAAGGAAAACGCCAATGGCATGTTCATTGCGATCAAGAGCAAGGGAGATTTTTTCATATAGGTCAATCAATGCTAACGAAGTTGAATGATTTTTCTTGAAGCCAGATTGCCGTCTGGCCCTGGCGCTCCATCCTTCATCCCCTTCAGAGACCGTTCGACATCCTCAGTTTTTATAGGGGCCATAAGTTCCCACGTTGGCGGCCCCACAGGCTGCGGACACCTGTTGTCAGGCACCGAAGTTCGCTCAAATAGACTTCTCCAAAACGGTTGTTGCGTTCCCATAGGCAGCGTAGCTGGCGGATCTTGCCAGGCACCAGAGATGACATCTTGGGCACAGCGGGACCTGTTCTTGGTGTATTCCGGCCGAACCCGGGCATATTGTGCCCTGCGCCTGACTCTGGGTCGATCCTGAGCCTCGGTCCGCTGAGGCTGAGGACGAGAACCTGGCGCATGCCTCTCGCGAGACGGCAACCAGGCCTCATACGCTATATCCAGCGCGCTCCTAACCCGGTTATCGGGACAACCGGGTACAATCTCTTCGATTGTTACTTCCCCTAAGTCTAAGTGAACTCCCTCCAACGCCCTCCTCAAGGCGTCCGACCACCCGCACTGCTCAGTAGAGTCAGTCATTTGGGGCCCGGAAACCCTGGTCTCAGGCTGTTCTCGTGTAACCTGCAGGGATGGCAATGTTGCACCAAAGGTGGCTTGGGCTTCAGAGGAATCACCCCCCTCCACCCTACCGTCTTGTGTTCCAAGGCCCGCCGAGGAAGAAGCACTCCCCCCAGCAGGGCCGTCTTGCGTTCCATGCACACCGGTCAATGATTCCAAGATTCCCTTATACTCCGCCGTCTGCTGCATCTTCTTGATTGACTCAGAATAGCGGCTCGGGAACTGTTCTGCCATGGTCTTACTAGTTATAGTAAGACCCAGCTCTACCATGTTCTTTTCTACCCTCTCCAAGAGAACCTTTTCCTCGTAAACCCAGCGTGCTTTCTTCCTCTGCTCAAGCACATGATCTTTGTGGTAGGCCTCCTTGTGTGCGCGACGTTGATGCTGTGAAACCCCTGCCTTGCCACAGAACTCACGACCGCAGTCCGGGCATGGTAGGAGACCAGCACCATTGGTCGCCCTTAGAGCAGATCGAGCGTCACTGGTAGAGGCCGCTGTGGCAGGCTCCCCATTATCATCAGTTGTTGTATCGAAAGCAACGCAAACAACTGCTGCGGGCTGCTAACCTGTAGCAGCTTGGGGCACCTTTAGCTTCACCAACTGGTACGACCACCCCCAGCTGATGGTATAGGCACACGACCCGACATGGGACAAGCCCGCCAAGCAAGACAGCACCACACTCACTCACAAGAAGCTGGGCAAGAACACAGCCCGATGTTAATAAGCCACAAGACAGATGTTATAAGTCAGGCTAGGCAGGTGTAATAGCCTTAGGGGCCTATGGCNTCCCCTTCAGAGACCGTTCGACATCCTCAGTTTTTATAGGGGCCATAAGTTCCCACTTTGGCGGCCCCACAGGCTGCGGACACCTGTTGTCAGGCACCGAAGTTCGCTCAAATAGACTTCTCCAAAACGGTTAGGCAGCGGTTAGGCAGCGTAGCTGGCGGATCTTGCCAGGCACCAGAGATGACATCTTGGGCACAGCGGGACCTGTTCTTGGTGTATTCCGGCCGAACCAGGGCATATTGTGCCCTGCGCCTGACTCTAGGTCGATCCTGAGCCTCGGTCCGCTGAGGCTGAGGACGAGAACCTGGCGCATGCCTCTCGCGAGACGGCAACCAGGCCTCATACGCTATATCCAGCGCGCTCCTAACCCGGTTATCGGGACAACCGGGTACAATCTCTTCGATTGTTACTTCCCCTAAGTCTAAGTGAACTCCCTCCAACGCCCTCCTCAAGGCGTCCGACCACCCGCACTGCTCAGTAGAGTCAGTCATTTGGGGCCCGGAAACCCTGGTCTCAGGCTGTTCTCGTGTAACCTGCAGGGATGGCAATGTTGCACCAAAGGTGGCTTGGGCTTCAGAGGAATCACCCCCCTCCACCCTACCGTCTTGTGTTCCAAGGCCCGCCGAGGAAGAAGCACTCCCCCCAGCAGGGCCGTCTTGCGTTCCATGCACACCGGTCAACGATTCCAAGATTCCCTTATACTCCGCCGTCTGCTGCATATTCTTGATTGACTCAGAATAGCGGCTCGGGAACTGTTCTGCCATGGTCTTACTAGTTATAGTAAGACCCAGCTCTACCATGTTCTTTTCTACCCTCTCCAAGAGAACCTTTTCCTCGTAAACCCAGCGTGCTTTCTTCCTCTGCTCAAGCACATGATCTTTGTGGTAGGCCTCCTTGTGTGCGCGACGTTGATGCTGTGAAACCCCTGCCTTGCCACAGAACTCACGACCGCAGTCCGGGCATGGTAGGAGACCAGCACCATTGGTCGCCCTTAGAGCAGATCGAGCGTCACTGGTAGAGCCCGCTGTGGCAGGCTCCCCATTATCATCAGTTGTTGTATCGAAAGCAACGCAAACAACTGCTGCGGGCTGCTAACCTGTAGCAGCTTGGGGCACCTTTAGCTTCGCCGACTGGTACGACCACCCCCAGCTGATGGTATAGGCACACGACCCGACATGGGACAAGCCGGCCAAGCAAGACAGCACCACACTCACTCACAAGAAGCTGGGCAAGAACACAGCCCGATGTTAATAAGCCACAAGACAGATGTTATAAGTCAGGCTAGGCAGGTGTAATAGCCTTAGGGGCCTATGGCTGCCGGCTGGTGGCGGTAAAGTGATTGCCCGTCCCACCGTATTTCTGTGGGCAGTTTAAGGCCCGCACGTCTGTAGGGCCTTCCGCCGTACCGTGCACATTACCAGATGTCAGACATTCATCAGCTCAATAGAGAATAAGCAGGGACATAGCCCTGATGTTACAGTGAGTGGTGGGCACCATCCTTACGCAAGGCAGACTAGGCCCTGCCAGGCGCGGCTGTGTAGACCAGGGCCAGCACGCACCAGCCGACTACTAACGACTCGCGCCATGAGAAGGCAGCACCCCGAAGAGAGTCAATCAATGCTAACGAAGTTGAATGATTTTTCCTGAAGCCAAATTGATTATCACATAGAATTTCTAGTGTACTTAAATAATTATAAAGACGGTTATAAACAACCCTTTCAAGAAACTTAGAAAAGCTAGGGAGAGTCAAGATCGGTCTATACTTCGTAAAGAGTGATTGATCACTGGTTTTAAAGAGTGGTATCACGCGAGCAATTGTTATTTGGTCGGGAACAATGCCATGAGTGATAGATAAACTGATTATATGAGCTAAACGATCGGCTATAATTTGAATTGACTGTTTTATGATGGAAATGCGTAGAGTATTGTTTGAAAAAAGCTGTTATAAGCATTATATGGATCATCAAGAGTGACATACTGAGACCAGTCAATTCTCTCCAAATGCGATAGAAACTTGATTGTGTTGACTTGATTTACAACTCTAACGAAAACAGTTTCATTAGATGCTGACATTGAGGTGTCGAAATGAATAGAAAATATAGGCAGATGGTCAGAAATGTCAGTGAAAAACAGTCCACTCCTAGATCTATCGAAAAATTGGTTGCCGAAAATGTTGTCAATTAAAGTTGCCGAATGACAAGTTATTCTTGTAGGGCGCGTAATCAATGGAATGAACATATGTGAATATAGCGCATCTAAAAATTCACCAGTAACGGAATGACTTTGGTGGTTCATTAGATTTAAGTTTAAGTCACCCATTAAATAACATACCTTATTTTCTTTTGAAATCCTACTTAATAGCTCATTGGTCATTGTTAAAAATTCATCAACGTTTTGGTTTGGCGGCCTGTAAATCACACCAGTAACAATGCTCTTTCGCTGGGGCTTAACAATTTCAATAAACAAAGTAGGGTTGGAACTCCCTATTGAGGCACAGAGGCTTTGATCAAAAAGGGGACCTTTTTGAGTGATGGATGGGCACAGATGTCCTTGGCCTGTGTAAAGCCATAGCAGTTCAAATGCCATCGTCATTGTTGCATCTACTACGATCATGATTTAGTGACATATTTTCAAGGTGTTTAATCCTATGTTGAAAAAGAATCCTTGACTATAAAGGATGTTTGTTCTTCATGGCAGTGGCTTCCTAACATTCATGTTAAGGTTACAAGGTGGTGTTGTTCAAATTTTTTCCAGGGCCGAGTTGTTTGAAGGCTGATTGGCGCTAACCCAGGGTTAAATTTTAACCCAGGTCTCTTGTTCTTTTCATCAAAAGCATTTTCTAGAAAAATTTTCTCTATTCTTCTTAGAGTAGCTAATCATCCAATTGTAGACAAAAAGAATTAAACTGAATTTGCTATTTATGCTTTCATATCTGAATTCAAATTTTGTACTAACCCTTGGTTATCTTAACCTGACTTGTAACAACCCGGCCCAGGGGTATAAGCCCACTATTAACCCCTTATGAAATGATGGCCAAAGGAGCAATGGTTGTCACTAAGATTTCAAGAGTTACATTCAGTTGGTGGGTGAGGAAATGAACAGTTAGGCGGCTCCTAACATTTTGTCTGCCGTAAGTACGAAGTACTCTCCCAACAAACGTGTCCAGTGAACCTTGGTTCTTACTTAATGACAGCCGTGCCCAAGTAATATATTACAGCAACAACGATGACAACCCCTTTAGCTGAAAAATGATTCTTTCATTTTTGGTCTTAGTCAAGTGCATCTGTATGCATAATTTTATGAAAGAGAAAGGGGCAAATTCACCTGAACCATTAAAGGGAAAGTGACACGTACAAGCTAAAAATTGGAAGGATTTGTATGCGAAAAAACAAAAACTTATGCCACCCAGTCACACTTGAATGGTTTTCCATACAAATCCTTGTAAACTTCAAAATTTTCAAACTGCCTTTAAACATCTGCTTAAGCATTATGGGGCACAAATCTCTTTTTAATTCATAACACTTACAATGCGAAGTGGAAAACCGTGAACACTTGATAGATCAAGACACGCGAACTGGCCACAAATTTTCAAACTAATTAACATTCTTGCTTGGGGGTTAGGTTTCTTATGCCTGATTGGCTTTTTTCTTGCAACACAATAACATTCCAGAAATATTTCTGGCGTTCCTGGTTGCTATTATCTTATCTATTATTAATATTAAATTATCATCTTATTTTAAAAGAACACACCCACTCGCCCCCTCCCATATTCACAATCATTTTGCTCCCCCCTTTTCCCCTCCCTCCCCTCTGGTTTTCC